GACTAAACCAGGACTGAACCAGAACTAAACCAGAACTAAACCAGAACTGAACCAGAACTGAACTAGGACTAAACCAGGACTGAACCAGGACCAAACCAGGTCTAACCCCGGACTAAACCAGAGATGAACCAGGACTGAATCAGGACTATACTAGGTCTAAACCAGGACTGAACTGAAGACTATACCAGGTCTAAACCAGGACCAAACCAGGACCAAACCAGGACTAATCTTGGACTAGAACTTGGAAGCGATCGGGCATCAGCGGTGCGAGGAGGTCTGAGTCGGTCCTTTCGCCCGTGGTTACCTCACAGTCTACTCGGGCGCATCTCCGGCGTTTCACCACTGCTGATATCGCGGTGATTTTAGCGAATTCGCATGAACTAACTTCTAACGAAAAACCCACCACTTCAATCCAGGTTAAAAATGCATTGTAACATGCATTACTCACATTTGTACCGAGTAAAATATTAAAAATTTTTTCCCCTGTAATGCCAAACATTACTGAGTTACAGCAAAAAGCAATGCGTTACAGTAATTTGTTACTTTTATAACGCACTACTCCCAACACTGTAAGGCAATGACCCATTTACACACACATTCACACAAGTGTATGCAGACACAGGACCAAGGCCCAAGGACACAACAAGATCTTCAAACTCTGCTGGAGTTGCGATCACACCACCAGCTTATAGGTCAGTGAAACCGACCGCTGTTCAAGCAGGGCAGCCGCAGGGTCTTAAAAGTCTTAAAACGGTCTTAAATTTCATGTTCCTAAATTATGGCCTTAAAAATTCTTAAATTATGTTGCCCAAATCTTATTTTTTTCACAAATGTCTTAAATTTCATTAGCCTTTTTTTTGTAAACTCAACTGGGCTGCAGTGCGATGTTAAACAGAGGGAGGAAAAAAAGCAAATGAACTTCTAATTTGGAGAATGTGCAAACAATGTTTGTCTGGTTAGAATGTTATAAACAATTTTTTGGCTATTTCACAAGCAATGCATATGACTATAAATGAGTTCTAAATGAGGTTTTATTTAAATTAGTTATTTAAAGCAGTGAGTAATGGTCATTATTAGAATTGGATCTGGTGTTTTTTGCCTTGCATAACGGGTGCAATGTTCATCTTAATTTTCATTTAAGTGGTCTTAAAAAGATCTTAAAGTCTTAAATTTGGGGTAGTCACACCTGGGGATTCTCAAGTCAAGTCTGTCAAGTGATGTTTATGTTGAGAGTGCGAATCAAACCCCAAAGGTTCAGATCAGTGGACAAACACCAACTAAGCTACTGTCACTCAAAATCAGTCTGTCTTTCTGTAGCGGCTGACCTAAGGCTTACTGTCACGCAAAAATGCTTCACAATTTCATGCATTTCTCAAATTTTTCTGAGTCTTCCAAGTCTAGTCAGTTTAATGCCCAAAAGTCCTCTTCAGCCCTCAAGTTGTGAAATGTGTTTATAAACTCGTCACAGTGAAGAGTTTGCATACTTGGAGTACGCTCAGAAAGGAAGTAATCTATTTGGACTGGAAGGTCCTAGAACAGAGGGGGTCTTCTCTTTCTTGGTCCTCTGACCGACTGCAGCTCCGTGTTGTTGCTGTGGTCTCCAGCCTCTCTCCAGCCTCTCTCCAGCCTCTCTCCAGCCTCTCTCCAGCCTCTCTCCAGCCTCTCTCCAGCCTCCCATGGATTACCCCCTGACACTCCTAATGCTGTGTGTTTTATGGAGCAGCAGTGTGGGCTTTACACTGGGATTTGAACCTCCACACGGCCCCGGACACCGCGCCGCACTAACAGCCTCTGATTTATCACGGCGCTCTGAGCTCTGCTTCACCTGACGCCATTGTTTTACAGTGTAAAATAAAACATGTCAAACACAAGGCCCCAAAGACAATGCTCACTTTTACATGTTCATCTGACCTGAAAATAACTATGTGTCTTCAGATTGATTTTGCATGCACCTTTTTTGGCAGTGTTTATTGCACCTCGCATCTCCACAAACCTGACTCTTATTTGGTCTGGAGGATGGCCTCTTCCAGCTTGTTTCCATGGAAATGTTGTTTGTTTGGCTACAAACCTCCACAGTTTGGCATTAAACGTCTCTGTCTTTATGGAGAGTGTTCCAAACTTATGGTTTTATTAATTAATTAAGCACATATAGCTCCTTTCATGACGCCCAAAGTGCTGTACAGTGCATTATTCATTCACTTCACACTCAGTGGTGGTGAGCTACTATTGAAACATCCCCTCTAACCACCACCAACACTCACCCCATTCATATGAGGCAATGTAGGTGTCTTGTCTAAGGACACAACTGGCCCCACTGTGGCTTCTGGTATTCCCAGTGGTCTCCCCTCAAACAGCTAACCAGACCCAGTCTGTTTAGTGTCTGAGATCAGGCTTTGACAAGCTGCTGTGGCCACGGAGTTTTAACTTTCTGTTTCCATGCAATGATGCAGGTGACTCGCCACCTCCAGAAAGTCTCATACTGTACCTTTAAACATTTATGTCTTAATTACACAGAGCATGTGCGCCTGTCTGATGTTCTGATGCTCCTGTCATGCTCCTGTCATGCTCCTGTCATGCTCCTGTCACTGGTGTGGTCTGTGCTCCACATGAGGAGGAGGAGTTGGCCCAGAGCTTCCGTGTCACCATCAGGCAGCCTCAGTGTCTTCATCTGATCGTTGTGTCCTCTTCTTCTCTTCTTCATTTAGTCTACGGCCTGCTGTCTCCAGTCCACTCTTTCATGTGTGCGTGGGTATCGAGCTCTGTTCTGATGGATAGATTTTGTGGGCCTAAACGCTACAAATTTCCATTTCGCACAGTCTCTCTGGACTTGACCGGTCTCGGCGCATTGAGCAGTTGCAGCGCTGGAGTTGATAAGGAGTGGAAGCCAGTGGAAGCAGACTGTTGGAATGATTTGGAGCAGTCTCAGCTCGCAGGCCGCTTGGGCGTATCAAATACAACATGGAAAAAGCTATTGTTTGTACAGTGGCTGAGTGAGCGTCTGTTGCAGCAGGCCAACAAGTGTCAAAACAGTCTGTCTATAAATTGTCACCTGCTTTTGTGGTTTACTCATTATGTAATTGTTAAATTCATCTAAACTCCAGTAGCCATACTTTTAGCAATCGGTCAGAAATGTGATTATTTAGTCATATTTAGGGATTTGGTGATAATATGATGATAATCATGATCTCATTCCTATTTTGTTTAAACAGACATATTGAGATTTGCTCATTTTCTCTTGAATGCAGCTCAGTGCTCAAATAAGTGTCCAGGAGAAATTCAGTTTGTCGACTGGACAAAAGTTAGTTTGGTTGAAGACGTTTCTCAGCTCATCCAAGCTGCTTCTTCAGTTCTGGTCAGACGCTGGTGACACTTCCTTATATCTGTCTGCAGGGAGGAGCTAACTACACTGAAACTACACTGAAACTACTAACACACCTACTTGTTTACAGTTTCTGTTTGTTAGTTCGGCCTATTGACCTGTACTGGGTGTGGGGTCTAATTAGCAGAACAATTCATGGCCATAATGGAACCTCCACACCTCTGGACCTGACCTGGACACACCTGTTGTTCTCTTGTTTGTTTTGATTTAGGTTTGAGGATGGAGTTGTAAATAGGAGATAGATGGTGTCTGAGGCCTCCATTTCTGTTTAGAGAAGGATTCTCTTTCTTAACAAAAATGTCTTCTTTCTCTCCCCTCTCAAACCAATTCTTTTCTCTGGCTAAAATCTGTACCTTACTGTCCTCAAATGAGTGGCCTGTGGCTTTTAAGTGGAGATGTACAGCAGACTGAGGTCCACTGCTGCTCTCCCATCTGTGTTGACTCATCCTCTTGTCAAGTAGCTGTTTAGTTTCTCCAGTGTAGTGTTCACTGGAGTCTTCACTGCACTGAATGGAGTAGAGCACATTGCTTTGTTTGTGACTCTGTGTTTTGTCCTTTGGTTGGACTAGTTTCTGTCTTAGAGTGTTCGTAGGTTTGACATAGACCGGGATCTCATGTTGTCTGAAAATCCTCTGTAGTTTTTCAGAAACACCAGCCATGTAAGGAATAGTTACCCCCTTTCTCCTGGGTTCTGATTCTCTGTTGTCCTGTTTTTTAGTTCTCTTAGTTTTGTTGAAGGCCCATTAGACCTCACACCCTGTGCAGGTCAATAGGCCGAACTAACAAACAGAAACTGTAAACAAGTGTGTGTGTTAGTTTCAGAGTAGTTTCAGTGTAATTAGCTCCTCCCTGCAGACAGATAAAAGGAAGTGTTGACCAGCATTCTGACCAGAACTGAAGAAGCAGCTTGGATGAACTGAGAAACGTCTTCAACCAAACTAACTTTTGTCCGGTCAACAAACTGAATTTCTCCTCGACATGGATTCTACCTGGACGACTGAGAGATACTTCACACAATACTCAAATAACTTTCTCCACCCACTCTTCTTATTGGCCTCTGCTATGTTCTGTGTGAGTGACAGGTGGATTTAACCAATCACTGCGAAGGTTGAACTTTCAAAAGAAGCAAATGACTTCCAGATCTTTACAAAGGACATGCTTCAAACAAAACTGGAATGTGTTCTGTAGATTCCTTCGTTTTTTATAAATGTTGCAATACGAGAATTGTTGAATGAAGCTGATTAATCACAATCAAATCCAAATTACAGTTTGGGTGGACACAATTAGCAAATCCCAAAGGCCGCAGTTTTTTGAAATGCCATAATTTCCTCCACAGACAACAAGATCTGAAGTCCTGTTCTGCATAAAAACTGCTAACCCTGTAAATCTGTTCAAACATGTTCTGAAATGTGTTTTTTTTTTTTCTTCAGTTTTTCAGTTCTGATTTCAGTGCTTTTTTCTCAATTCTTTTGAACTTGTGAACTTTGAACAGAATCTTATTATTAAAACATACATTTATATCGCAAACCTGAAACACAACATGAAAAATTACAATTACATCTTTTTCCCCAAATGAAAAACTGGAAATGTTTAAGTAACAATTGACATTTTGTGTTTGCAGATCCACACTCGACTCCAGCTGTACGAGGAGATCCGACCCCTGCCCGCCGTGAAGAGTGTGTCCTCTCTCGTCTCCCAGGTTAGTCATTTAAAAATGTTGGTTGTCTTTTCTTTTTAAAAATTAAAGTCTTTTCTTCCCCTGATTTGGTCGATTTGTTTTGTACCGACATATTGTTTAAGCAGCTCTTGAGGTCAGAATAAGTCCATTGTGTGTTCTGTGTGTCTAATGAGTAAACATTTTATTGTCCGATAATCAGGAAATGCACATTGGCATGCTACTTGTTGTTCGCTTTACTGTCACGGCAGAACTTCACACTGGTCTCTGAAAGTTGTGAAAAGTTCTTAAACTCTTCACAGTGAATAATTAGGATGTTCTGACTGCATAAGGTAAGTGTGGAATAACTTTGGAGCACTACAGACTTTCAAATAAACTAGATCTGTTTTTCCCATTTCCCAAGACATGGTGCTTTTAATGTTTAGTGAATATTCAAATTAAACGGATGACGGAAACACTAAAAGCAAGCACATCCTAACACACTGGCAGAACTTATGGCACAATGTAACATCAAATATGGATTTTTTTTGCGGCTGATATGATACTGATAAAACTGGCTTTGGACGTGCCGATAGTCGATATAAAAGCCGAGATATTTAATGATGTAAAAATTCACTGTGACACTTCAGTTGATTATAAAACTGAGGTCTGACTCTACTGGATTTTGAGTTTGTTTAGTTGACATTTACTGTTATTCTGTTCTTTCATATTTAAAGACAGTAGGTTGGCTTAATGGCATTTTTGCATCACATTCTAGCCTGTAAACAAAGTAAGTAAACTAACGCTATCAGCCTTTCGTGGTAAAAATGTGCACACCGTAGTAATTATGCAGACCATTCACGCCTCTGTTTACAGCTCAAAAAAAAAGAGCTCACAAAAGTATCTCCAAAACTGACACAACTTCAAGTTTTCACAAATGTGTCCTTTTAATCCTGACTCAAACCAATTGTCCGTAAAAAGAATATAATCCAGTATGTGGACAGCTGCTGTGTGTGTCCTCGGTCTGTGGGACAGTCCTCTGTCTGTGGGACAGTCCTCTGTCTGTGGAACAGTCCTCTGTCTGTGGGACAGTCCTGTCTTTTTTCCACACTCACTTTTGTTTCTGGCCTAAACTGTGTTGAAGTTCACTTTTATTTATCTTCAATATTGTGGATCAGACACAAGAGCGTTTAAAGCAGAGCCTCATTGTTGTGCATGTGGCTCTTTGGCTGCGCACGGGTGTAAAGAAAAACACGAGTGATGTGACTCCGTGGTGCATTCAGGGGCAGTAGGGCATCACAGACACAGACAAATTACTCCACAGATAAATACTGATGTGGGGCCACATATTAGAACATTTATCTGTTGGAAAATGTTGTTAAATTGGATTAAATGGACATAATATAGAGAGTGTAAACTTCAAAAGACGATATAACCTGCTCACGTGGACTATCGGCCCAGATCAATAACTGACTCCAAGTGCCCATTTCGGCTGATGATATCGGCTAACCGATATATCAGTTGCCCGATATATCGGTTAGCTGTACTTTTGACAGCCCTTCTTGTTCATATATGTCCCATATCAGTATGACTTACAGACTTACCCACTTCAGATCAGAACACAGACAGTGATCCCATAATATTACACGCCAAAGCCGTCGCCAGGGTACAGCTCACTCCTCTGACCCCTCGACATGCATGTGCGCTGGCGTCACCACCGCTGCGGTCGCTTCCACTCGCCCATCTAGTCCGTTATTTGCTTTGCCAGGAATAACAACACGTAAAACAGGGGCAATAAAAGTCTATTTCGGCTAAACGTGCACGGATTTTAGGCACGCTTGCTCCTGGTATGGTTTGCAGGAATTACGGAGAGTTGTGTCATCTTTGGGTCTGGGGAAGGATCAGAAGCACCGGTCTGGCCCCGTCTCGTGCCATTGTCAGACGGTCTCAGTACTAATTAGGATGATGTATGGCTGCGGGCTGGTGGAAGGGGCTGGACGCTCTTTGATTACAATAAACAGAGCGCTGTGATTTCCAACCAAACCACACAGAGCGAGAGGGAGAGACTGGTAGCTGAAGTGATGCCAGGCTGCTGCTGCTGCTGCTGCTGCTGCTGCTGGGTTTACACAGGTGTGGGGAGGGTGGGCACGGGCCTCAGCTGCTCCTAATGGATTCTACACATGGACAGCGCTAGAGCCAATGTCAAATAGTCAAATCAATCAGTTTCTTGTGGGAATGGGAAGTGCAGGGTTCAGGTATTCACACGACATGACTTTTATCTCAAAACGATCACTACTGTAACTGAAAAAAGTCATCAGACATAAAAACAAAGTGGATTCGTATGTCTATGTCATGTTAAATGTTGTTACCTCATCAAACACAGACCTGGACTTGTTTTTTGTTTCATTTACATATACTTGCCTAATCCTGTGTTGTCAGTATTGGAGTTTAAAAACACAATGGAGCAGTAATGCCTAAATCTGCAGGTTTGTACAGTGTTTCCCACAGACCCCGGATCAAACGGAGATACTAGAATGACACAGAAGAAACTACTAAACATACAACAAGACAGCTAAATGGAATAATGAAACGGCTCTCTCTCTCTTCTCTCTGTCTCTCTGCCTCTATTTCTCTGTCTTTATGTCTCTGTGTCTCTCTGTCTCAGTCTCTCTGTCTCTGTCCCTCTCTGTCTCTGTCTCTCTGCCTCTCTGTCTGTCTCTCTGTTTCCATCTCTGTCTCTCTGTTTCTGTCTCTCTTTCTGTCTCTGTCTCTCTGTCTCTGTCTCTCTGTTTTCTGTCTCTCTGTTTCTGTCTCTGTCTCTCTGTTTCTGTCTGTCACTGTCTCTCTGTCTCTTTGTTTCTGTCCCTGTCTGTCTCTGTCTCTGTGTTTCTCTCTATCTCAGTCTCTGTCTCTTCTCTCTTTCTATCTGTCTGTCTCTTCTCTTTCTCTCTTTCTGTCTCTACGTCTCTCTGTTTCTATATGTCTCCTCTCAGTCTCTCTGTATCTGTCTCTCTGTCTCGCTCTCTCTGGTTTTATGTCTCTTTCTCAGTCTCTGTCTCTATGTCTCTCTCTGTCTCTCAGTCTCTGTCTCTCTCTGTCTCTGTCTCTATGTCTCTCTCTGTCTCTCAGTCTCTGTCGCTCTCTGTCTCTGTCTCTCTGTCTCTCAGTCTCTGTCTCTCTCTGTCTCTGTCTCTATGTCTCTCTCTGTCTCTCAGTCTCTGTCTCTCTCTGTCTCTGTCTCTATGTCTCTGTCTCTCAGTCGCTGTCTCTCTCTGTCTCTATGCCTCTCTGTCTCTCAGTCTCTGTCGCTCTCTGTCTCTGTCTCTATGTCTCTCTCTGTCTCTGTCTCTCTCTGTCTCTATGTCTCTCTCAGTCTCTGTCTCTCTCTGTCTCTGTCTCTATGTCTCTCTCAGTCTCTGTCTCTCTCTGTGTCTCTGTCTCTCTGTCTCTCTCTGTCTCTCTGTCTCTGTCGCTCTCTGTCTCTTGCTTTCTATTCTCTCTTTCTGTCTCTCTCCCTGTCTCTCTCTCGTCTCTCTGTCTCTCAGTCTCTCTGTCTGTCTCTGTTTCCATGTCTCTGTGTGTGTGTGTGAGAGAGAGAGACTGAATCTCTTAAAAAAAAAATAAAAAAATCCCTGTTTGTGTGTTAAACATGTGAATGAAACAAAACACAACTCCAGGTCTGTTTGTGATGAGGAAACAACATCAGAACATAGATCAGAATAGAGTGTAGTATGAGCCCTTTATAGTGGAGATATTTGACTATGGGGTATTACCTGCTCACACAACATATTTCTATCACTTTATTACCTGATATTGTTTTGAAAATGCTATATTCATCAAAAACAACACATTAACATTTGCTCTTTGCTCTAAGTCACTCCAGCTTCAAGGAACTATCATAACGCAATCAGTTTGCATTTCACTAATGAAACTACTGCACATCATGTCAAGTTTGTGAAGTTGTAGTGTAATGTTTTGTACCATGCTTTTGTTTTTTTTATGGAGGATTGTTGTGTGGGAGCGTGGGTGATGTTGTGGTGGAGGGATCAAAAAGAGGGTTCGAATAGGGCTCAGGAGAGATCCCTAGATTACTCAAACATGCACGGATGACATCTAAACCCTAGGGATGTAACGATATCCAAATCTCATGGTACGATATTATCACAATATGCATCTCACGGTACGATATTTATTGCGATATTTTGAAGAGGCTGATATAATTGTAGATGGGATGCTTTTTTTGCTTTTAAAATACCTTGACAAGGCTTTGGTGTGAATTATTTGCATCATAATCCCAAGAATTCAAGTCAAAAACATATATCTTCATGTTGTCTGAACTGAAATGAATCATGGGAGATGTAGTTCCCGATGTTTATAAGCTGTTGCTACTATAAATCAACGCATTTAAGCAAAGGAACTTGTAAATTGATATATTGTGACAGCCCACGATATTATTGTGAGACTTTTGATGATACTATATCACAATATTTCAGTTATTGTTACATCTCTACTAAAACCTCAGACATGTTTTTGATGAGGGAAGCTTTATAACATGGTAGAAAGCTCCATTAAGTGAATATTGCATAATACCCCCGTCTCTTAAAAACGTGGCATAAAAGTCAGTATTCAGGAGTGTTTTTTCCTCTCCCCTCGGTGGTCTTAAATTCTATAAGTCTTAAAATATACTGCGTTAAAGCTAATATTAGCACACCTCTATGCACAAGTTAAAACCCAGATCTCTGTGCCTGTTTGAATATAAATAGCGTTCATAAAATACAGCGTGTAAGTGAACACCACACAGCAGCAGGTGATGTCAGAATGGTGAAACGTTCTCCTCTTAAACCCAAAGCACCGGGAGCCCTCCGTCTCCTCCGCCCGCTCCCCGCTCGCTACTGTGGGCCGTGACAAGAGCGGAGAGCCGAACCCCGACCTCCAGCCCCCCCTCTCCGCCTCTTTGTCAAATTACACACTTTTAAATTTATGCTTCCTGCTAACTGCCCTGCCGAGCGTCTCCGCGGGATTATCGGGTATCGCTATAGGGCCCT